ACACACACACAACAGAGGACAGCACAAAGAGAGAGAGAAACATCCATGCCCAGAGCGGGATTCGAACCCGCAGCCTATGGCTTCGTAGTCAGGCACGCTAACCGCTCGGCCACCAGGAATCGGCCACCTGAATTCTATATTTCAATATTCTCAAAAAAAAAAAAAAAAACACGAATTTGTAAGAAATTTTTTTTTATTTCAGAAGCAATTTTTTCTTTTTTTAAATCAACAGTGGGGACAAGTGAGGGAATGACATATTGGTATATTTTAATTACCTAAAATAAATAAATAAAAATTGATAATTTTATTTTTATTCTTTTGTTAACCTGACATTCTGAAGGACACTTTCCCTGAAATTTTTTCTTTCGTAACTTGTAAAACAGACATAAAGTACACTGGGGGCATGAAAATGACTGTTTTTGTGAGAATGACCCTTATATGTAATATAATTTTTTTTTTATGAGGTTAAAATATTTTGAAATCTGATTTGATTTATAAACATATTCTATAAAATTTTCATGCATTAATTTATATTTAATGTTTTTGTTTTGAAGAGGGCTGTGATTTTTTGTTTTGAAGAACTACTGATTTGATTTTTGTTTTAGACGAATTTAAACTATTTATCCAACTTTAATAAACTATTTAATTTGAAGAGCAAACTTAAAGAGTATATTACATAAATTTTTTTTTATTTATTGATTCTGTGAAATTTTACATTACTAACTCCCTTTATATTTGAGTATCTTAATATTTGGTAAGCATTGAAGCTACCAAAATCTAATATTGAAGGTACTTATTGTATACTTTAATTTGCTTATTTCTACCAGAGGAGTAAAAATGCTCTTTTACTTAGTTTGAAAAATTAATTTAATGCTTTAGAAGGAAGAGATTGAAAACTTAAATAAATAACGGTAAATAAAGAAATAAATAATAATGGCAAAAAAGATTCTGAATTATTATTAAATTTACATTATTGTTAGTCTTAATCATTAGTTTCTAAATATTTTTTAAATAGTTAAAGTTAAATAAATTTTTTTTAAATTTTTTTTTTTATTTCCATAATAAGATAAAGATTAATTCTAACTTTTATACCACATAAACAAAAAATAATAACATAACTTAACTAAAACATAATTAATTAAAAGATGTCTAAATATTTATTTATAAAATAATTGAGAATTCTGTGTTTTGAATATGTTATAAATTTTTTAAAATTTAAGTATCCGTGTGCCCTGATTTTTGTTTACAAACATATAATTGCTATTCATGAATATATTTATTAGTTTGACTTTTCTTTTACACTTGTAGATTATCAAGACCTTTATCCTTTTGGTCCCGAAGGTGTACTGAAAGTTTCAGCCAGTATCTTAGGTTACTCATCCAACATTATTCAAGATGAAAATTTCCTTATTGTAAGTTAACTCATTATTTCTTGAAATGCTTTCAAAGTTTTGTTTTTCTTTAAAAAAAAGTCTTTAAATGTATGTAATAATTTATGTACACTTAGTTAAAATATTTATATTTTTTCCTCTAATGATATTTAAATTAATATATTTTTCATGTTATGTGGGAAATTGTTGGATGCTTAAACTATTACTTTGCACATGATAAAAATTCTTGTAGCCAAATACATTCTTAATCCAAAAGCTATAGTAAATAAGAGTACTAATTTGGCTTACAGATTGATGATTTTAAATAGAGCATAGTTAGAGTTCAGTCATCAGAATCAGTAAAGTAGTAGGGTTCAGTCATCAGTAAAGGTTTTATCTAGATTGTAAGGTTATTTAGAAATCTCAAAACTGATGTATGTATGGTATTTGAACATATTTATTTTACTCTTTTTATTGGGATGTTTTATTGAAAGCTAATTTTTTTGTCCTTTGAGAAAGTTTATTTACAATGTTTTTTTTAAAAAATGTTCTCACTTTTATGAAGAATTTGATTAATTTAAATTGAAGGTTAGAGTTTTTAATTATTTCAAGGTTTCTAAGGTCGTTCACGATAATAAAAAAATTTGTTCCAAATTTTTATAACTGTTGGGAATTATTTAAACTCGAGAGTTTGATTTGAACATTTATAGTTGAAACATTGCTCTTCATTTATTAGTTAGAGGGGTCTTATTATTATTTGATCTCACTAAAGAAAACTGATGTTACTGCATAGGAAATGATGTAACGATTACTTGTTCAAATGCAAAAGGATTGACTTCAATTATTTATTTTTTAATAACATTCAAATATCTATAAATATTTATACTTTATTTTAGTGGTGGAAATGGAAAGATGTTTTGCTATTTTGCAAGTTATATTTTATTAACAAATGATTTGAACTTTCTGATCTGTTACTTTACCTTGTAAATGATTTATTATTTTATTATGCCCATTTACTCACTTATTTTGCCTTCAAGTGTATTACCAATTTTTGCCATTTGTTCTGATAGTTTTTTTTTCTTTTCTTTCAGGATACTTACATCTCACCTATAAACACCACACTTAATTTACTTCTTGTAGAGAAGGCTGAAATAGAACCTAAAAAAGTGTCTGTTTTTAACAGCCCTTCCAATAAGGTAAGTAGCTTCACAACTTTTAATTTATACGGTTTATTCTCAATTGATGTGTTTAAATTTTCACTTCGCTAATTAACAATTAATAGTGAAGTACCAACACCAACTATAGTTTTCCATTTATGATTATTAAGTAAATAGTCATAAAAAATATCAGATGTGTCAAATATTGTCGCAATCTGTTTACTTTTTTATGTAACAGAAATGAGACTATGATTTGTTTTCAGTAAATCTCTTTCTTCCATTAATATTAAGTTTCTATTTTGGTTAGAAACATTTTTTTCACATTACTTTATTCATTCAAGCATTTAGTCATACTTGTTTTTTTTTGTATCATGATTTAACCAAGTAATATATTTATTCTTTAAAAAAGGAAATTAAAGTTATACAAACCGTACATCATACTGAAAAAAATAATTATATGATCCTGTTTGTTTAGCATTTTAATGACTTTGTTAAAACTTAAGTGGTAACTAATTTTTTTTCCATGTTTAGGTTGATTATTTTAAAATTTTTAATTTTTATAAATCAAAGTAATTGTAAAATTTCTCTACTCAATAAATTTTAATTATTAAATAAATAAATTTATTTAATTAAGAACATATTTTTTATTTTTATTTTAGTAATGTGTGCAAAGCTTTGTCTGCTATCAAAAGGCATTTTAACACTTTTTATTTCATTAAATTTAGCAAAATTTTATGATTTCTTCATTGCAAAGCACCAGAAACTATAGATAAAGAATATTTCATTAATTTCTTTTTAAGAGGACCTTATATTGCAGGAGAAAGTTTTCATCACAACTTCTCTTTCACCCCCATAGGAAGAAGAAACATTTTAAGTGTGCATTTCCTCATTATGAGTGCTTATTCTTTGTATAAAAAATGTAGCTACGTACCCAGGAAATTAAATTTGAGCTTAAAAAAATTAAACTTTTTTGCATGTATCTGCACTTCTATGTATCTGTTATTTTTCAAGTTTGGTTGAAATGTTCACTGATTCTGAATTTTTTTTTTTTAGCTTTACAGTATGAATTTGATTGGTAAATATTTTTAGTGTCAGTACTGATTTATTTTTTTCTCTTTTTTCAAAGGTCTATTTGAATATCACAAAAGGGTCAGGACATTTCCAAATTGAAACAAGTTCATCAAATAAGGCCAATGTTATCTATAAAAGCTCATCACGTCAAATTGAGGTAGGTTCTACAGTATGAAACTAGGTGTTAGTAATGACTTATTCCCCCTCTTATTTTAAATACTAAAGAAAATTTTGAAGTTACATATTACTCCATTTTACTCTTTTTTGCATAATTTACTTAGATAAACTTCATATCTAGATTCTAAATATCTTGATCACTATCCATTAAAAATGTTTATTAAAATGAAATAATAACATCTGTCTTCCCTTTGAAATATCAATGCTTTGAAAAATATTTTTAACAATGATAAATTAAGCAAATTTTTACTTGGTTTATTTTAATTACTTTTAATTTTCATCACATTTTTTATTTTATTTTGTTTTAAATCAATGTAGTTTTTTTTTTTTATCATTGAAATATGTTTCAGTGTTTTCATTATTAATATTCATTGGGCTCGAAGTTGTGGATCCTTAAACTTTATTGACTCCTTTCCAGCTCACAACAGATTGTTGTGAAAATACTTCATTTTTATTAATGAAGTTTCAAATGTACTTATATTTATAATTAATATCACAATTTTACAGCTATCAGTACAAATTTAATCTATGCATTATAAGTGTCTGTGCAAGTTTGGTTCACTTACATCTAAAATTAGCTCTTTTTATTTATTTTTATATACAAATTTGTTTTCAGCAACTTTATTATTTTTTCTTCTTTATTATAAGTCTTGTGCCACTTTTAAATCACAACATAGCATATATTCTGCAGAAATATCTGTGGTCTATATTCCTTTGAATAATTAATGATACATGTAAGAATGTTTTCCTTGTAATTGAAAAGAACTAAATAAGTAAAACATTTAACTCTGTAACTGTTGTTATTTTGTATTAGAGTTATAACGAGCAAAATTTTACTAAAATTATTGTTTTATCTAGTGTTTTGCTTATGTGAGCAATTAATAAAAAATATTTATATGTACTATTTTCTAATATAGATCACCCCACTTGAAACTGGAACTCTGACCATAACTGTGACTGATCTTTGTTTAGGAATCATTCATGAATCTGTTGCTGAAATTCAAATTTATGGCATTTCAGCTGTTGTTGTGGATGTCATTGATAAGGTAAAAACAATGTCTTCCCTCTTCTTTTTTCAAAACAAAAAAAAAGTTAATTACCAATTGTTATCTAATAATCTATATATTATTTATTCATTTACTAAACGTAAAGTTAAATTTTTGGTAGTTATTTTGCTACAGAATATTGGATTCAAAATTTTCCTTTTCTGCTAAATATAATTATCAATACTAAGTCAAATTATTCATTTCAATATAGGTTCAATTAGGTAAATCTATAATAGCTACTGTTGAAGTTTTAAATGAAGATATGCAACGTATACCTGCTTCTGTTTTTGGCCTGATGAATCTGCAACCTGCACTATCTTCTGATGTCGTCTCTGTCAGGTATCCATTCCATTTTTCTGAAATGCATACTCATTGATTTGAGATTTTGATTATAATAACAACTAAAATTCAAGACACATACTTTTCTTGAAATTCATAATAGCAAACAGTATCTTGTACAAACAGTGCTAGTTCAAATAGATACTGAGCATGCAGGATATGCTCGGCAGTCTGAGGTGGCATTTATAAAAGTTATTGAAAGGCTAAAGAACAACCACAGGACTTGCAGACTGATTGGCTTTAGTCTTTGTGTTTGTCTAATTGTTTAATGTTTAATCCCTCTGTTATTACAATTTGTTTCTCCATGTGTGTTTATGCAAAGTAGTTAGCTAGCAACTGGTAAATGATGCCTATCAGGAGTACTAGCACTTGAAACATGTATAGTTGATGCTGAATATAACTTTCGTCTGATTAAGAAATAATATTTAAAATATAAGAAAGAAGATAGTAATATAAACATTTTGCTTTTTGCGAACAAGAAAGTAGCACATTACAATAAACAGTTTTTTTGCAAATTTTCTAATAGTTACTAAACATCATCTATGGAGCTAAATTTTATGTAATATTCATTGCGAATGGGGATTATTCATTACAGTTTGCTGTACTAAAGAGTCTAGATTGTATATGTTGTATCTTAATTTTCTTTGTTTTTTTGTTTTTATTTATTATGCTATATGTATATATATAT